TGCTAGCACAGTGTACTGATAATCTTAATTTTAATAATGACAGGAGGCGAATATTTTCCCTCCCTTCATCTTGATGTTCCCACCCTAATAAGGTAAGTAGAGTTCAGAGACATCTAGATCGGGTTTATATGTCTATACCATGAGATGTTATGGGTTTAGTTCCTTATGTTTCGATATAGTATAGAAAGGACTAGTTTTCACAGACTAGGGATAAGCTAATTACAGTCATATGGTTAACGTTTATATAAACATGCTTGCCATACGGTTGGTTCAGTATCACTGATACTAGTTTCCGTCTCCTTTCAGCTTAACAAGATACCGACAACAAGAAACCCGGAATCAAGTTCTTGGTTGCCTGATGAATTGTGGACACATCACTAAAGTTACAAGTTGGACTCAGTTTTCACGTTCTCGCAAGATTTGTTACAATGAATAGACTTGTGATGTCGCAACTAGTCAAGAGGAAATGGATGGATTGGCTAGAACTTATAAATGATCTGACTCATGCTGATTGGTTCTTTTGTTCAACTGTTTTTTTCTTTGCTGCTGTGGAGCTAGTAAAGAAAGTTAATGCAAAATATTCGCCTCCTGTCATTATTAAAATTAAGATTATCAGTACACTGCGCTAGCATAATCTTCAATTTTTGTTTTCCTAGGGTGGCAAAAATCCTTGCACTGGCCCAGCTGACACCAAAAAAATATAATGATCCAAAGAATGGAATTGCTAAGGGCATTTTTGTCAGTTTCACTATTTTTCACCTTAAATTAGAAAATCACTTTGATTCTCACTTTAGTGAATAACCCTCACATATGTTGCATCTTTTTTTTTAAATATATATATATGTGAGGTTATACTTAATAGAAATATGAAAACTATAGTTGAACAAACACATAACAAAAATGTCAAAATGTGCTGTGGATATTTTTGACCAGACAAGTTAAAACAGGTTGTGACCCTAACAAGTTAAACATTTACCAACATACCCATTTTGAATGATGAAATACTTGATTATTTATGTAAAAAGGTTTGAGTCATGTGTGGCCAATACACACTGATAACTCCTTTGATATTTGTAGAAAAAGAAAGTTTGGTCTTTGTAGGTTTTGTGCATGTCAGGAATTTTACTGATATTAGTTAAATATTCTTTTTGTATTGGGAATAGAATTTACAGTATTTTAGCCAAACGTAGCAAAAAAAATCTGAAGCAAGGTAACCAAAATATATTAATGTGATATAAAAACAATAAAGCCTAAATTGTTGCAATAGTAAAAATCTTGATTATGTCTCAAACACAATGGCATCTATCCAAAGGCAATATAAAGCTGCTGGGTTGGCCAATGCGTTATTCTGCTGCTGATACAAAAATCGGAACAACTATATACATAAATGTATGGGACATAGTTTAACCTTTTCATACATTAAAGGGACACTATAGTCGGCTTATTGAATTTGTTCTGGTGAGTAGAATCATTACCTTCAGGCTTTTTGCTGTAAACACTGTCTTTTCAGAGAAAATGCAGTGTATACATTGCAGCCTAGTGATAACTTCACTGGCCACTCCTCAGATGGCTGCTAGAGATCCTTCTTGGGTCATGGCCAGGGCCAGTGCTACCCGTTAGGCGGACTAGGCAGCCGCCTAGGGAGCCCCTTGGGAAGGGGCGCCGCTAGGAGCGCCGGCCCTCCTCATACTGCAGCCGCCCGAGTGCTCTGTAGAGAGCCTCAAGCGGCTGCAGTTTTGCCCGGGCTGGTGCGTCCAAGCGGGCGCACCGCCTGGGCGCAGCATGAGGAGAGGGGCTGACAGGGGGAAGCGCTCAGCGCACAGCGCTCCCTCCTGTCACTCCCTCACTGTAGCGTGGCGGAGCCCTGTATGGTCCGCGGGTACAGGGAGCATCTGTCTCCTGTACCCAGCCAGACTAACAGGAAGTGCACACTCAGTGTTCACTTCCTTTTAGTCCGGCCGGGTACAGGAAACAAAAGCTCCCTGTACCCGCGGACCATACAGGGCTCGGCCACGCCTACAACAGAGGTGGGGGGGGAGGGTGGGGGGAATAGCATTGAAAGGGAGGGTGGGGAAAATTGACAGGGGGGAATAAATTGACAGGGAGGGTGGGGGAATAAATTGAAAAGGGGGAATAAATTGACAGGGAGGGTGGGGAAAATTGGAAGGGAGGGTGGGGGATAAATTGAAAGGGAGGGGGAACAAATTGATGTGGAGGTGGGGGGAAATACATTGAAAGGGAGGTGGGGAACAAATTGGGGGGGATAAATTGACAGGGGAAATAAATTGAGAGGGAGGGTGGGGTGGAACAAATTGAAGTGAGGGAATAAATTGACAGGAGGGTGGGGAATAAATTGACTGGGGGGAATAAATTGACAGGGAGGGTGGGGGGAATACATTGAAAGGGAGAGGGGAATAAATTGAAGGGGAATAAATTGAAAGGGAGGGGAAAGAAATTGACAGGGTGGGGGGGGAGAAATTGACAGGGAGGGGAATTGACGGGGAAGGAGGGGGAATGAGAGTGGGGAGGGGAGAAGAGCGTGACAACGGGGGAGAAGAGAGTGACAAGGTAGGAGGGAGAAGAGAGGGACAAGCAGGGGAGAAGAGAGTGACAAGGGAGGGGGGAGAAGAGAGGGACAAGGGGGGAGAAGAGAGGGACAAGGAAGGGGGGAGAGATTGACATCCATCACACAAACACACAATGCACCCCTTACACACAAAGACAATGCACCCCTTGCACACAGAAAAACACACAATGCATTATACACACAGACACACAGACACACAAGCAATGCAACCCTTACACACAATGCATCCCCTACACACACACAAACACACAATGCATTCCTTACACACACTCAATGCACCCCTTACACACACTCAATGCACCCCTTACAGACGCACACACTGCATCCCGTACATACACAGAAACACACCTTGCAGCCCTTACACATACAAACAGAGATTCACACAATGCATTCCTTACACACATATCAGGACATCCCCCTACTCCACCCCCTGTGAACAAACTCATTGGTGCAACATGAAGGTGGACCCTGGGACCCAGACCTTGAGCTGTGTAAAGGACCCCCAAAAAATGGAGCTGCTTCCCGTTCTCCCAGAACATTGATTTTTGTGACCACAGTTACAAACCGCCTCCAGAGAGCCTGTTCTGCACCAGACCAGTGGAGCCAGACTGCAGCTAGAGCTCATCATCATCCTCATCTGGTTGTAAGTAGGCAATCTAGTATATTATTTGTGGCACTAAGCTCTAATTTACCTCACATTAAAGAAACACTATAGTCCCCAGAACCACTTCAGCTTAATGTAGTGGTTCTGGTGTCTATAGCCTGTCCCTGCAGGCCTTTTAATGTAAACACGACAGCACTGCAGCACTGGCGTTAGTTAACTTGGCAGATCATATGGGTGGGGCATTGTGATGTCAATTGGGGGGGGCGGCAAACTTTACTTTTGCCTAGGGCGGCAAAAATCCTTGCCCCGGCCCTGGTCATGGCTGCCTAAAATGCATCCAAACATTCAGTATCTCCTCCCTCTGCATGCAGACACTGAACTTTCCTCATAGAGATTCATTGATTCAATTCATCTCTATGAGGATATCCTGATTGGCCAGCTCTGTGTTTGAATCATGCTGGCTCTGCCCCTGATCTGCCTCTTTGCCAGTCTCAGCCAATCCTATGGAGAAGCATTGTGATTGGATGAGGCTACCACTTCTGATGATGTCAGCAGACTGCTTGTTTTTTGTAAGGCAAACAGCATGCAGAGTTACAGCTTCAGGCTTGAATACAGTAAGAATTTGCTATATTTATGGAGGTATGAGGGGCCCAGGAATACATGTTTGTGTTCCTGATACAAACATGTATTCACTACAGGGTCAGGAATACATGTTTGTGTTCCTGACCCTATAGTGATCATTTAACATGGCTGGTGACTTAATAACATAAAGATAGTCCAGCTTAACCACTTAAGGATAGAGGAAATTGTCTAAGTTCTGACCCAAAACAAAGCCTGGAATTGGACTATATAGCTGTTCAACACTTATTACATATCATTATATTATATATCATTTTGTTCAGGAGAATATTTATATATGAAACATAATTTAATATGAAAAAAATCTGAAGTGTGAGAAAATAATATGTTATTTTCCTAGTTCTGCATGGAATTTTAACTGTGAATGACATAGTATTGTTTGCTTTTACTGAAATAAAACACACATATTTGCATGCAGTGATGTCCAGTAAGTACAACGATGCACTCCATGTACTGGCTTCATAGTATTTTGGAAAGTTACAGGGTCAAACAAAGAGTTGACCATTTCAGTTTTCACACATTAATATTTGCCAGATTGGTTTGTTATCTTTGAGACCATATGGCAGCCCAGGAATGAGAATTCCCCTGATTGTGGGATACCATTTTCAAAAGTAGACAACCCAGGGTATTCACAATGCAGTATGTCTAATCTCTTTTAATAGCCACTTAGTCACAAACCATAACCAAAATTAGTGTTCATATTTGTTTTTGCAATTTTTACACAAAAACTGCACTTTCACCGATGATATCATTATACATTTTACTCATTTGTGTTCAGCTATGTCTCATAAGTACAACAGTACCCCCCGTACAGGTTTTATGGGATTTTGAAAAGTTACTAGCGCAAATATAGGGCATGCAATTACATTATCTGGTATTTTAGGTACACACATTAAGAATCAAATTTATATATAATTTTATTCTAAGTGTATTTTGATATATTGCCATGGGAAAAAGAAAGTGCACCCTCTTTGAATTCTATTGAATTCTGTGATTTTACAAATCAGGACATAATTAACTGTTCCTTAGTAGAGCTTAAAATTAGGTAAATAAAACCTCAGATGAGCAACAACACATAACATATTACACCATGATATGATTTATTTAACAAAAATAAAACCAAAATGGAGAAGCCATGTGTGAAAAACAAAGTGCCACTTATGATCAATAGCTTATGGAACCACCTTTAGCAGCAATAACTTGAAGATATCATTTTCTGTATAACTTTATCAGTCTCTCACATCGTTGTGGAGGAATTTTGTCCCACTCTTATTTACAATGTTGCTTCAGTTCATTGAGGCTTACTGGCATTTCTTTATGCACAGGTCTCTTAAGGTTTTCCCACAGCATTTCATTTAGGTTTGAGGGCTGGACTTTGGCTGGGCCGTTGAAACGCCTTGATTCTTTTCTTTTTCAGCCATTGCTGTTGTAGATTTGCGTTTGTGCTGATGTGCTGTGTTTGTTTTTCGCCAAAGGTGGCACTGTGCATTATGGGCAAACCTTTCGTCACTTAGGTCTTGTCTGTCCAGAGGACATTGTTCCAGAAGTTTTGTGGTTTGTTCAGATGCAACTTTTGCAAACCTAAGCCGTGCTGCCATACTCCAACAAACCACACTTGTTCAGTCTTTTTCTACTTGTACTGTTATGAACTTTAACATTTCTCTGAGCATTGCCCAGTCTGACTGTGGGGTGAATTTACTGGGATGTCCACTCCTGGAAAGATTGGCAGCTGTCTTGAATGTTTTCCACTTTTGAATAATCTTATTCACTGTAGAATGATGGACTTTAGATTGTTTGGAAATGGCCTTATAAGCTTCTCAATTTGACAGGCAGCAACAATTGCTTCTCTAAGATCATTAGTGATGTCTTTCCTCCTTGGCATTATACTAACACACACTTGAATTCTCCATACCAGCAAACTGCTAAAAACCTGCTAATGTAATTAGTTATAAATTGGGGGATCTGCCTGACAAACCAGGCAGTACCCCTGCAGGCAATCAGTCGATCGCGGTGTCATTGCAATCACATGACTCAGATCTGCGGGAATGGCTGCAGGGGGACTGCCTCAGTTGTCAAGCAATCCCCCTGATTTCCACGGAGGGTAAGTATACTTGCTTCCGGTAGGGCTGGATGATTAGGGTGTGCTATGCCATCCTAATGGCATTAAACCCTCCTTTTGTAGGATGGCATAGCACACCATAATGTCAGGAAATAGTTAATGTGACACTAGGGTCACCAAAACAACTCTTACTTAATTATGCAGTTTTGATGTATAGATCATGCCCCTGCAGTCACAACTCCCTGCATGTGACTTGCAAAACCTTCCTAAACACTTCCTGTAAAGAGAGATGCAATGTTTAAACTTTTTTTATTGCACATTCTGTTTAATTTAGATTTTCTTGTCTCCTGCTCTGTTAATAACCCTCTAGTTCCTGCAGGAGCCTCCTGTGCGTGATTAAAGTACAATTTACAAAGCAGGACATAAAAACTCCTAAAGCAAATTAACATCTGAAAATGAAACCATTTGTGCTGAAAAGTTAGATCTCCAGATGATGTAAAACTACAGCTCCAATGGTGTTTTGCTATCCTCTGAAGAGCTCTGGGCATTGACTGAATGCCCTGAAGGTATGCAATGCAGTGAAATTGTGTCTGATACTCTCATGCTGTACTGGTGAGACACCAGAGAACAAACGTCTGACAGCAGAGCATATATTGGGACAGGTATTATATTTACTATCAGCATTCAGTAGATCTCAAAACCTGCAAAATCATCATTCTGTTTGTTGTTATGCTTGACATGTTGACATATCAATCTCAAGGTTGTGTTATTAATGATGACAACAAAAGTTAAGTCCAGTTTAAAGTTGATAATGTTTTCCAACATTGACAGTCTTATTGGCATACTCTGGTTAAGATATTTTTGAATTAGGATCATGTTGAAAACAAACACACAATATTGGCTGACGTTCAGAACCTGTTATCAAACGAAACCAAATGATGGAGTGTGAGTTAGGCAAATAAACTAGAAATATTTGGCAAACAGAACAAACATGAGGAAATATAAACGATTAAATCTGTGATTACAATTAATAAAGCTCCAACATATTCTGTAACATTGTACAAAGACCGAACAAGACGTAAATAATTGCACCGAGACGAGTGTCATATACAGGAAGAGGAGGTAGCGAGAGCCCTGCTCGGAGAAGTGCATAGTATGCCACGGAACAAAAATAACAATATACCAGAACTTCTGCAGCACAATACCTAGGATAAAACCTGGGATATTTATGAAAATATCTATAGCTGAGAAAACATAATTGAATGAAAAAAAAGACATAAAGATATATTACTCAGTATAATAACTAAATAGGGAGACTGTACTCGCCTCAACAAAAACAAAACTTACAGGGCTATTTAATAAAAATGTGAATTCAAAGTGTGGCTATTTAGACCTTAAAGGAACACTATAGTCAGCAGAACAACTACAGCATAACAAGGACAGAAGGTGCCTGTAGCAAGTGTGTTAAAAAATAATAAGCTTAGAGTCATGTCTACAAATGCTCGCAGTTTAGGGAATAAGATCCATGAACTTGTGGCAATAATGGCAACAGATAGTGTAGATTTAGTCGCTGTTACTGAGACATGGTATAATGAGAAAATGACTGGGACATAGCAATACCAGGGTACTCTTTATTTAGAAAAGATAGGGAAGGCAAGAAAGGGGGAGGGGTGGCCCTGTATGTGAAGGATAGCATAAAATCTAGCCTAATAAAAGTTAGTGAGGCAAACATAGAGTCCGTTTGGGTTACGTTAGAATTTGGAAATCGCACAGTAACTCGTGTAGGTTACTGAAATTGAAGAGTTAGATAATATACTAGTTGAGGAAATAGCTAAAATGACAATGAAGGGGGAAGTTATCATCATGGATGACTTTAATCTTCCTGATGTAAATTGGAAAACAAAATTAGCCACTTGTGCCAGGAGCACACATATTCTAAACTCACTACTGGGATTGTCTCTAAAACAAGTTGTTGAGGAGCCAACTCATAAAGAGGCCATACTAGATTTAGTGTTAACAAATGGAGATTTGGTATCAGATATTACTGTAGGCGAAAGTTTAGGATTCAGTGATCATCAGTCAGTGTGGTTTAATATAAGAACAGTGACTCAGTCACACCACACAAAAACAAAAGTTTTAGACTTTAGAAACACAGACTTTTCTAAAATTAGAATATGTGTAGAGGAGTCATTATCAGACTGGAGCAATTTAAATGGAGTCCAAGAGAAATGGGTTATTTAAAAGTTGCACTATTGAAGACAACAGAAAATTGCATTAGGCTTGTAAGTAAAAGCAAAAAATTCAAGAAACCACTGTGGTACTCCACAGATGTGGCCAAAATAGTTAAAAACAAAAAGTTAGCATTTAGGAATTATAAAAAAAACCCACAGGGAGGAAGACAAAATTATATATAAGATTAGGCAGAAAGAGGCTAAGCAAGTTATAAGAGCTTCCAAATCACACACAGAAGAGAATATAGCACAGTCGGTAAAAAAGGGGGACAAAACATTTTTTAGATACATAAATGAGAAAATAAAAATAAAACAAGGATTAGTTAGATTAAAAACAAAAGAAGAAAGGTATGTAGAAGAGGATAAAGGTCTAGCTGACTGCCTCAATGAATATTTTTGTTCTGTATTTACAGATGAAAATGAAGGAAAGGGACCTCAGTTAAGAAAAGGGATAAATTAGTCATTTATTACAGAGTTGACAGAGGAAGAGGTTCTATTTCAACTGTCAAAAGTTAAGACAAATAAGTCAATGGGACCTGATGGAATACACCCAAAGCTATTAAAAGAGCTTAGTGGTGTACTAGCAAAACCATTAACAGATTTATTTAACCAATCATTGTTAACAGGAGTAGTCCCAGAAGATTGGAGGTTAGCGAATGTTGTGCCCATTTATAAGAAAGGTAATATGGAGGAGTCGGGCAACTATAGGCCAGTAAGCCTTACTTCAGTAGTAGGGAAAGTGATGGAAACCATGTTAAAGGATAGGATTGATGAACATCTAAAAACACATGGATTTCAAGATCAGAGACAACGTGGGTTTACTTCAGGCAGATCATGCCAAACTAATCTTATTGATTTTTTTGATTGGGTAACTAAAATTATAGATCAGGGTGGTGCAGTAGACATTGCTTACCTAGTTTTTAGTAAGGCTTTTGACACTGTTGCACATAGAAGACTTATCAATAAACTGCAATCTTTAAGTTTAGATTCCAATATTGTTGAATGGGTAAGGCAGTGGCTGAGTGACAGGCAACAGAGGTAGGCAGACAATGTAATAGAGCAGCAGGAAATGTTAGCAGAATGCTTGGTTGTATAGGGAGAGGTATTAGCAGTAGAAAGAGGGAAGTGCTCATGCCATTGTACAGAACACTGGTGAGACCTCACTTGGAGTATTGTACACAGTACTGGAGACCGTATCTTCAGAAGGATATTGATACCTTAGAGAGGGTTCAGAGAAGGGCTACTAAACTGGTTCATGGATTGTGGGATAAAACTTACCAGGAAAGGTTAAAGGATCTTAACATGTATAGCTTGGAGGAAAGACGAGACAGGGGGGATATGATAGAAACATTTAAATATATAAAGGGAATCAACAAAGTAAAGGAGGAGACTATATTTAAAAGAAGAAAAACTACCACAACAAGAGGACATAGTCTTAAATTAGAGGGGCAAAGGTTTAAAAATAATATCAGGAAGTATTACTTTACTGAGAGGGTAGTGGATGCATGGAATAGCCTTCCAGCTGAAGTGGTAGAGGTTAACACAGTAAAGGAGTTTAAGCATGCGTGGGATAGGCATAAGGCTATCCTAACTATAAGATAAGGCTAGGGACTAATGAAAGTATTTAGAAAATTGGGCAGACTAGATGGACCGAATGGTTCTTATCTGCCGTCACATTCTATGTTTCTATGTTTCTATGGTGACTATGTAGTCAGTCCCTGCAGGCCTTTTAATGTAAACACTGCATTTTCTTTGTTTTTATCTCCCTATTTATTTATTCATTTACAATACATGTCATCTTAGAATTAATATTTAGAATTCATGTTTTTACATGTTGTTCATATATGTTGGAATTTTTTTTATATGTAGTGCACTGGAGTCCTGTAATGTTATTGTGGGCATGGACATCGTTGCACTGATGCCCAGGCTCTATACTACATCCACACACCTTTTACATCTAACCCATTATTGTCAGAAATATGTGGATACCGGTATGTAATATCTAGTGCAAGCTTGTCCATGCTAATAAAGTTTGCTTGTGTTCCAGTAGTGGAATGCATGCATGGCCTTTCAAGTTTGACATGAGGAAACATTTGCATTGTCTTGCAGGAAGGATATCAAACATGCACCTCACCATATCGACGTGTTCTTCGTATTTAAAGAAGACCAGTAAAATAAGGAAGACAACTCCTGAGGAAGTCTCGAGGAGCACCAGTACTTTACCCCTCCTATCCAGACCTGGAGGATTTTATCATCCCAGCAGCATTTTGAATGTCGCAACCCAGACCTTGCAGACTGGTGTTCGGGATTCAATAGGAGGACTGCAAGGTGGACCTTTCTTGGATAAAATTCTATTTTTACATGTCTTCATCAAATGTGCATATATGTTTGTGAGTGCTTTTTTTTTTTTTTATTCTTTTTTTTTTTAGCAAGCTTAGTAAAAAAACAATAAGGCTCAATTGAGTGTTTTAGTTTGAGTGTGTAGCATGAGTGTGTTACCAGGTTGTGGCATGTGTTGAACAGACTAGGTACAAGCTGTGAAATAGTGTCCTGCTCGGCTGTCCTATAATGTAGGCAAGATTGAAACACAGTTAACATAGCGTCTGGTGTAGTATAATAGCGCCGTTTCTAACTTTATGGTGTGTGTTGTGGGAAAAACTTTTGAGGTGAGTCATGGCAGTGTCACTAGTGTTACAAGCTAGGTCATCTGATTTTGTAGATAAGGTTTAAGCATGCTATCAGTGAGTATGCATTGTAAAGCATAAGACATAGGGATAGTTCTCATAATGTATACCCAGGCATGATCTGTGTGTGGTAGAGCAGGTCAGTCCATGTGGGGTCAGCCGATGCCTGCGTTGGAGGGTGCAGGTATTGATACACAAGATTCCTAGCTGGTCAGGATCAGCTATCCACCAGGTAGCTCCTGGTGGCGAGAGTAGAGGAGGTATATGGCAGAGGGGTTGCAGCTGGGGAAGGAGCAGAAAATGCTCTTCAGGTTAGGTGTAAGTCCCAGGGTCAGTCTGCGCCAGTCGCGTTTTCGCCATTGTTTGTGGCTGTCTCTGTTAATCCCAGGTTGTGGCTAGGATGGGGCCAGAGTAGGATGCCGCCGGATCACGTGGCTGCCATTGTGGTCTGTGTGCCGTCATTTGGTGCTTGAGGGAGTGGATAAGGCCTCTCGCCGTCGCATGCCATGGGGCTTTTTCCTCCACTGCGTTTGGTTTTACTCTAACAATAATTGTTTAGTATAAATCTCATGAGGAAATAAATAATTACTAAGCTGGGGATGTTCATCTTATCTGCATAATTCAAAAGAAATATCTGAATTTTTATCATGCAAATGAAGTTGGTTTTGAAGCTCAGAATTGCCCTACATTTGTCAATTAAAGGCACACAGGCGTTTAAGTTTGTCTGCTTAATTCTGGCTGTGAACTGCAATAAATAATTTGTTACACTGGCTGTTAAAGTGTTAAAAATTAACTATACAATCTCTTGCAGTTCACAGGACACACAAGGACTACAACTCCCCTGGTGCTTTGCCAGCATTGTGACTGTAAGAGCAGGGCCGGATTAACATAGGGGCTGATGGAGCTGCAGCTCCAGGCCCAGGCCCATGGAATAGGCCCATTTAAAAAAAAAAAAATGATTTTTTTTTTTTTTTTTACTACACACTACTCTTAGGTTTGCCACCTGACTGGTATTTTCATTGGCACAGATGGTATTTGAGGCTGCCTGGCTGTGCCGGTATTGCAGTAATACCGGCAATACAAATGCAGGTAATTTTCTCAGAATACATGGAAATTACTCTGCAATACCAGCACTGGCCAGTAGGGGTCACTGTGTGTGGAGAAAGGCAGGGATAGGAAGTTACAGAATATCCCTGCCTCTCTCTACTACTCACTGATCCGTGGGGGAGCAGCTACACAGCACAGAGAGTCCAGACAGCAGCTGTACAGCTCAGGTAAGACACTGAGACACTAGGGGACACAGACACTAGGGGACACATGATGACACATACACTAGGGGACACTGAGACACTAGGACACAGACACTGGGAACACTGAGACACTTGGGGACACTGGAAAAAATGGGGACACTGAGACACTTGGGGACATGGGGACACAGACACTAGGGGACACATGGGAACACAGACACTAGGGGACACTGAGACACTAGGACACATGGGGACACAGACACTGTGAGACCTGGGGACACAGACACTTGGGGACACTGGAAAACATGGGGACACTGAGACACTAGGGGACACATGGGGATGCTGAGACACAGGGGGACGCTGTGAGATATAGGGACATTTGGAGACATTGGGACACGGAGACACTATGTCCCCCAGCCAGTGTCCCTAGGGTCTCAGTGTCCCCAAGTCTCACTGTGTCTGTGTCCCATGTCTCTCAGTGTGCCTAGTGTCCTCATGTGTCCCAATGTCCCCATGTCTATGTCCACAACTGTCCCCATGTCTCCCCAAGTGTCTGTCTCCCAGCCAGTGTCCCCAAGTCTCCCAGTATCCCCTAATCTCCCAGTGTCCCCTAGTCTCCCAGTGTCTCTGTCCCTAGTGTCTTAGTGTCCCCAAATGTTTCAGTGTCTCCATGTCTCCTAGTGTCTGTGTTCTTAGTGTCTCAGTGTGCCTGGTGTCCCCATGTCTCCCAGTGTCCCTATATGTCCCAGTGTCCACATGTCTATGTCCACAACTGTCCCCATGTCTCCCAGTGTCCCCAAGTGTCTGTCTCCCAGCCAGTGTCCCCTAGTCTCCCAGTGTCCCCTAGTCTCTCAGTGTCTGTGTTCCCATGTCTGTGTCTTAGTGTCCCCAAATGTTTCAGTGTCCCCATGTCTCCCAGTGTCTGTGTCCCTAGTGTCTCAGTGTCCCCATTTCTTCCAGTTTCCCTAAATGTCTCAGTGTCCCCATGTCTCCCAGTGTCCCCATATCTCTGTGTCCCCGGGTCTCTCAGTGTCCCCATGTCTCTCAGTGTCCCCAGTATCCTAGTGACATTGGCACACACTGAGACATTGGGACACTGGGAGAAATGGGGACACAGACACTGGGAGACTAGGGGACTGGGCAAGATGGGGACACTGACACTGTGATACATAGGGACACTGAGACACTGGGTGACTTGCGAGACTGAGATACTGGGAGACACTGGGAGCAATCCATCTAAACAGCAGAATCAAACTGTGAGTAGGTGGCAACCTTAACTACTCTTCACATACTCTTGCTTAAAGGAGCACTATAGTGTCAGGAACACAATCATGTATTTCTTACCATATTATGTTAAAACCACCACCCTGGCCCTTTCTTACCTCCCTAAATATAGTAAAATATTACTTGTATTCAATTCTGCAGCTGCTGGCTCAGAAGTGGTGGTCTGAGCAAATTACAATACTTCCCCATAGGATTGGCTGAGACTGTCAACTAGGCAGATCAGGGGCAGAGCCAGCACAAGTCCAACATAGCCCTGGCCAATCAGCATCTCCTCATAAAGATAAATTGAATCAATGCATCTCTATGAGGAAAGTTCAGTGTCTGCATGCAGAGGGTGGAGACACTGAATGGCAGTGCTGCACACTAGGCAGTACTGCCCCAGGAAGCACCTCTAGCAGCCATCTAAGGAGCGGCCAGTGGAGTTATTTTCTCTGAAAAGACAGTGTTTACTGCAAAAAGCCTGAATGGAATGATTCTACTTACCAGAACAAATACAATAAGCTGTAGTTGTTCTGGTGACTATAGTGTCCCTTTAAGTTTGGAAGCTTAAGAGGGATGTATGGGACCAAAACTTGTGTGCACTGGCTGACATTAAAGTTAGTTTAGGTAATGCAGACGTTGGTCTCTCTAACACTGTGGCATGTCCCCTTTCTTCTACACTCACTACAGACACCTTTTCTCTGTCTCAGACTATACCAGGAACTTCTGCCTGCTAGTAAGAAGGTAAGGAGACAAGTGGACCAGCAAGTGCTAGGGGACAGTCCTTAGAAAGAATGGAGTGAGTGCATCATTAGACACATTTATGTCAAGCTCAAGGTGCTGCCTGCATTGTATGCCCTTAGTTGGACAGCCTGCAGGATTGGCAGGCAGCCTGACATGCATTCATGCCAGGCTGACCTTCCAATTCTTTGGACAGACATGCCCCCTTTTTGGGCATGTTCACCCCTTTTGGCAGGTCTTGTCACGTGATTCGCGCCAGTGGCACACCCTTTTACCCCGCCCATTGACTTCCTGCTTCACTGGACACTGCTGTTAGGGGCTATGGATTTACTTGAAAGATGAAAGCATAAATTAGAGAGAGATTAGCATAGAGTATGTGTTTTCTTATAGTGTTTTCCCTCCAGCACCATCTCCATCAGATACATGACGCTTGGGAGGTATGATTGTTTTAATGTTTTTGGTCGATAAGATTCCGTAATTAGGCCCATCATAATTGTCAGCACCAGGCCCACTGTGCTCTTAATCCAGCCCTGTGTAAGAGTATTCTGGGAAATGTATTCCAGAACATCTAGAGTGCTAAAGATTGCCTTACCCTGCTCCAGGTGAAACCCGAACTGTCTCTATCCATTTCCCTTCCTGCAGACCAAAGAAAACCAAGGATCTCTGGGACCACTGCAACAGAAGTAGAGTTCTCCTCCAGTTAATTAGTGGGGATGGGTATTAAATATAATGCAGAGATTCCAAGGAGTCCCTACTAACCAGATTTTCATGTTCCTGTCTGGCAGGTGTGAGTTAGTAATCATTAGTGGGGACCCAAGGACCTCTTATTAACCAGCCTCCTTTATATCTCACATGAAGGAATGCAGGTTAACCTGATAAATTAAAACAGCAGCACAGCTTTCAGTGGGGAAACTATATAGAAAGAACAGTGAAGACCATTGTGCAGGACCTTTAGTTAATAAATATATTAGATTCTAATAAATATAAAGGCAAGTGGCAAGTTGGGGAGTATATAATCATTACGATACCATGGACATTAGGAAAGAAAAACCAAAAGGGAAAACGAAATCCACAGAAAACAGGGCCACTTCAATCAAATTTGGGGTAGGAAACCTTTAGTTCAATTCTGAGTTTATTTTCTCTAACTCAGACAAAGGACGAAGTGAATTTCATCCAAATTGAAGCCACAAAATTGCCCTGGTTACAGTATTATCAGCCTTTAGTAAATAAGCCTCATGTGCTAATGGGACACTTCATGCACAGATACAACTTAATATAAATGAAGCTGTTATGGTGCCAGGATACCAGGATACCACTGGTGGGAATCTTACCTCAATGGGTTAAACCATTCTCGAACGGCCTGGGTTTTTATATGATGCAGTTCTTCCTCAATAGGTACATGTAAAAGAACAAGGGGAGATGAAAGATGAACTGATAGTGTAGTATATTTAACAGCTAGTAAATGTTGAAAGTACCCACTCAAATGATATGGAGTTTTTAGACAAGCTCCAGTAGAAAAAGCATGTAGCGGTACAATCGGATATAGTTGGTGGTATAGGGACTTCAGTGACTCTCAATGATGTATATGAAAAGATAAACAATGAAAAATACATTAGTGCAGAGTTGCCAGTATTAAAATGAATAAGTGCTTCTTAGAGAATAGGAAATACATTCACAAAAAATAAGCTTTAATTCACACTCTAATTTCAGCATATATTCACTTCTCAGGTTGTAGATGGAAGGCCATATGGTGGAACAAAATCCACATATTTGTTTGCTGCCCTGCCCCCAGCCTCAGATGCCCGTTTGGACCACAAGAAAGTATAGTATAGCAATTTCACTTTAATAATCATTTTTATTTGATATAGAGAAGATATATGATCTGAATTGTGAGCATATACATCAATGCACTATTACTTTAATTGTTTAGTTTTTAGACTGCATTTTTTGAATTGTGTTTATCACATTAATTTTGCATTATATATTCACAATGCTCTTACAACAAATTGATTAAATACACTTTAGTTAATTTAGCACTAGCACTGTTTAATTTGTCCCCCATGTTAAAATTAGTGTAGGACCCACTGGGGTACTGTGAAGTAGTGGTGAGCTTAACACATTATAGCCATATGGTGGAACTGAATCCCTACATTTTTTTGCTGAGATAGTTGATTTTAAAGGAGCACTATAGTGCCAAGAAAACAAACTCATTTTCCTGGCACTATAGGGTTATTAGGTGTGTCCCCCCCTCTCTCAGTGCCTCTCTCCCACTGGACTGAAGGGGTTAAAACTCCTTCAGCCACTTACCTTAATCCAGTGCCGGGCTCCTTCAGCACTGGTGACCTCTCTTCCCCCTGCCGACACGTGCGCACGCATTCAAACACCCAGAGAAAAGCATTACTCAATGCTTTCCTATGGACGTCCACTAGAGGCTGGATTAACCCTCAATGTAATCATAGCAGTTTCTCTGAAACTGCTATGTTTACAGCTGCAGGGTTGAAACTAGGGGGACTTGGCACCTAGATCACTTCAATGAGCTGAAGTGGTCTCGGTGCCTATAGTGGTCCTTTAAGTAGCCTTGTAAACTGTATTTGTTTGTGAGTGCTGTTCATTAATCTGTATATTATTGCAGAGTGAACCCACAATTCATCACCTAATGGCTCCTAGTTCTTCGGGTGCAAAATTACTGACTCCTTAAACACTCCCCCATATTCAGAGTCCCAAGAAGTGGGGCATCGGCAGGAGGGGAGTGATGAGGATGGGCCATTGATGCTATTGTCTCACTATCTCTGCCCAAAGCGAGCGATCCCAAATTACTGACAAGTCATGAACACCTACGAGGCTGCCTTTCAATCAAGCAGACCATCCCACTGGCAGCAGACCATGCAGGGAGCACTGTTTCAGGTCTCTCTGCAGGGCGCTTGTGCCCTGATTGTAGCACAAACACGTCTAATGATTCACTCATGTTACACCTTTTGGGGATAGTACCCAGTATAGGTGTCTATATGTAATACATAGCCATCTTACCACGTTTTCAGTTTGCTTTACATATCTTCCCTTTTTTTGCAATGCACGTAATGTCCTTTTGCATAAGTCTGCCTTTTTTATTTTTCTTATGATCTTGATTTTTTTATTATTTTTTCATCAGTAAACTTGCTGTGCGTAGCATTATACAGTGCATCTTGCTATTACCAGAAAAATGTGGCCATATTATTCATTAACAGATCACTAAAGGAAATTTATAAGGAACATGTCATATCAAAACACCATCTCAAGACTAGAGGGTGTTTATTTATTAGACAGCGAGTTGTGTTAAGCTGATTGAATTGC